GTACACCTGAACATCAGCAGGAGAGGACTCTTTAAAGTAGAGACACTACATACTGATATACACCTGAACATCAGCAGGAGAGGACTCTTTAAAGTAGAGACACTACATACTGATATACACCTGAACATCAGCAGGAGAGGACTCTTTAAAGTAGAGACACTACATACTGATGTACACCTGAACATCAGCAGGAGAGGACTCTTTAAAGTAGAGACACTACATACTGATATACACCTGAACATCAGCAGGAGAGGACTCTTTAAAGTAGAGACACTACATACTGATATACACCTGAACATCAGCAGGAGAGGACTCTTTAAAGTAGAGACACTACATACTGATGTACACCTGAACATCAGCAGGAGAGGACTCTTTAAAGTAGAGACACTACATACTGATATACACCTGAACATCAGCAGGAGAGGACTCTTTAAAGTAGAGACACTACATACTGATATACACCTGAACATCAGCAGGAGAGGACTCTTTAAAGTAGAGACACTACATACTGATATGAACCTGAACATTTGCATAATAGGGCCCCTTTAAAATATATGCTTGAGTTTAGAAAAAGGCGCTTTGTGGACACAGGCCCTAACCCTAACTCATACATATTTGCACGTTAATTATAATTAGTAAGTGTAATTATTACTTTGAGCTTCTTCTATAAGAAATACAACTGATGAATCATAGAAACTGAAGGAGGGAGGGAGAAATGAGGAAGAAGGATATAGAGAGGGATTGGGATCCTCCAAAGCCTCTTAGCATTTACAGCTTAAGAAAGTCAGAGGAAGGTCATTGCAGGAGGCATGAACCTAGGCATTACTGACACAGTTTTAAGGAGAGGAGGATTGTGGGACATCTGTGTATGTAATGGACAGCTGTACAGCGGAGCCAATGTGCTTTTTACTCAAATTAAACAAGGACAATTGTTTCCTCTCTCCTCCTATCGGGTGACTCTCCAGCGACTCGTGTTCCTGTTTAAATATTCACCTGATGTCTGCTGGCGTCATCAGCTATTGTTATTCAAAACCAGGGGACGAACCAGAGTGCGCTAGTGGGGGTAATTTTGGTTTTAATCCCTCTTGAGTTGGAGTTTGTATCTCACTCTCTTTAATTAAATAACTTTGCAGGATAAGGGACGTCAGCTTTATTGACTTCATTATTAATAATTTGACCTAAAGTGACTGCAGGAAAAACAGAAATATGCTCACTAAAGGTCAGTAATGATTCTCAATCAGTTCAGTCAATTCAATGTTCTCCATTAAAACGGCAATATCTGATAATTGAAGTGAGAACATCCATTTGCGATTGCCTGTCAGAAGTGTTTAATGTCAGTGATTTAATTGCAAAGTTAATCAATTTCCTGCATTGATGTTAACTGATAATTACTTCACCCACACGGGCGGTGGCCCCCGGGTCGCCTCGTTGCCGTGGGTGCTGCTGGTCTGTGATGACAGATGTTATGGTGTTTATGGTATGTGTGTTGTTGTTGTAGTAAATTCATCATTAAGTCTCATTTAAGTATATAACTTCCTTCTCTGGTTTGATTTTCCCGCGGTCTGAATTCACATCTAGCTACTTAATATTCACTTCCTTAGAACAGACAGAAAGCTGTCTCTTCAACCATTGTTAGGATTGATATTAGGTTTGTAATGACCATGTATGCAAGTTTCAACCATCTGGCCAACACTTCCTGTAATGTATATTGCCTCGCTGAGACCTTCCCCTTTCTGTGTGTTTTGAGTGTATAAAGTGCTTGTATTTTCTGTTGTACGTTATAAGATTGATTCTGTTAAATGCTATAACTCTTTATTAAATAACACAACTTTGGTTTGAAGCTTGTAGATTTGTTCTTTTCTTACCAGAAGGTGATTAAGTGTGGAATGTCCAATGATCTAGGGTGTGGCCACCTTGTGATTGACAGGTTGCTACCACAGCGTTATCTGGCTTTACCCCTTTCAGATTGTTTTTCGTTTGAAAGGTTAAGACATTCAGTCAACATTAACATTTTGTTCACCAAGAAATGTATAATTCAGTGATTGGTTGTACTCAGTTAAACCAAGATGGTGATGGCCAGAGGCTCACTTTATTTATTACCTCAGTGACACACTTCCTAATGACTTTGTGTTCTCAATCTGTAGAGTCAAGTCTTCTGGAATCCAGCATGGTGTTCATTGGATACCTTATGGTTCCATTTAGAATAAAATAGGTACGCTTTAGGGTTGGCTACCTTGTGATTGACAGGTTGCTACCATGACGTCTTGTGTTTTCAGTTTTAAGACATTTGGTGAACATTAACATTTCGGTCAATAAGAAATGTCTTGCTTACCGTTTGGTCTCTAACATTTTTATACCTGTGATCACAAAGTATTTATATGAGAAGGTGGAGTTTAGGAATGAAATGAATTGAATATTTTTATGGATTTATCACTTGTATTAGATATGGCAATATCACTGCTCTCCTGTTTGATGTCATTCAAATGAACTCAACTGTATATGTTATTACACGGCTCTTGTGATTGCCTCCCATTGGTAGTCGATACATCAAAGGTTAGTACACAACCGTGTTGTCGTTTGTGTTGTTAGCCCTGAAGAATACCTAAAGTGCTTGAAATGTTGCAGTTGAAAATAAACTAATGTTCTTCCTCCTGGTTACTTGCTTTACATATTGGAGTGTCAGCTGATAATATAGAAGCGGACCGGATTGGCTTTGGTCCAATCAAACGCTGGCATTGTTCATTTGTGGTGTGAAAGCAAAAACAGCTTTTACAAGAGCAGAAACGGGATTCTAGCAATAATTCCAACCTTAATTACCATTGAATTTATCTGCTTATAATGGTGACTGTCAAGGACACGATTTATCTAATTATACAAGATCACTTAGTAACCATGGTAAAACATATCCACGGCAGTAAGTGGGAGAATTGATTTGAGACTTTCACCGAACAATCAGAAAAGTGAAAACAGTTTTAAAAAATGGTGCTTTTTGTGTGTATTTGTCGGCTTCTCTGTATATATATTGCAGTACATAACCTGTCCATCATTATTTAGGACATACGGTCCACTTCCACTCTGAAGTAATAACGCTCATGATCACCAGGGAACATAAATAAAACCATAAAGTGCATGGAGGCGCTGCAGGACTTGTCCTTCTCCACAGGAACCCGTAGTGCTGATGATGCGGGATGACAGGCACCACAACGTTCCAATAAATGAGTCACCTCTTTATTATGCAAGACGTCAGTACACATGAAACAGAGCAGAACTAACGGCAATTTATATGTTTCCACTTTGCTTCAATCCTGGATGTTTTGGTGCTTTAGGAGAAATGAACATTAAAGACATTACCATGTAATATATTGAATGTAGCTGAAAATAGTAACTAATGATGGTAATGTGTATGATGCTGTATCTTCAGATTAAAACTGAGTTGTGACTCATGAGCACCATGCTATTTCCTCCATGTGTCACCCTGTAGTGCTGGAAATAAACTAGGTATATTTAATTAAATGAATTTTATGCAACTTTAGATTTTTTACTACATTTTGGAGGTCGATATTTTGCGTTTTTCAATCTATTAACTTCTCTTACTTTTGATGTCTTTCCAAAGCACTCTGTAACTATAATATAAAACAATGTTGTCATTTTTATTACATTAATTTGGCTGGTTACTATTCAAAGATTTAGATTCTCAATACAAAATATAAAACAATCAGATGCATTGCTATCCGGCAGTAAAAATAAAGACACAAGTATCCCACCTGCACATTAAAGGGATGTGCAAATGAATGCATCACTAATTATAATCCAATGGTTCATTTCACCGTTACATCGTTGATCCATTCTGCATAATGACTACTTTAGTTTGGCAGTAAAAAGGAAAAATATCTTTAAAAAAACTGCCCCTTTGAACTATCGCTGCAGTTTTTCTTGCCTGCCAATCAGGGCACACCAGGCTTTTCCAGAGGTCTTAAAGGAACAGTCGCCAAAACAAAGCATTTCAGACGGAGGGTGAAACTGATATTTTCAGACAGACACTACGAGAAAAAGAGTATTTTCCCGAATATGGAACCCTGTACACATGTTCTTGTCGGAACCCAAAATAAAAGTGTAAAGCCTAAACACGAGCAAACTATGTCCCCTTTCAGTATATTTTACTTTCTGCACTGTTGCTACTTTCTTTACGATGAAGAAATGTGTATTTTCCCCTACCATCATGTCGTTTTTTTGTTAATACTATGATGGTTTAAGACTCACACACTGTATCTTCAGCAGCATGTCTCCTTTAAATAGAATGAAAAGCAGTTAATTTATAAGACTATCATTTTAAAAGAGAAAAAGTCCTAGCTCTTGTCACCTAGATTCTAGTTCAATAACTACTGCTACTGTTCTACACGTTAAAGTTTGATTATCTCAATATTTCAACATGTCCCATTAGTCTTCGTCATTGTCAAGGCCTCGTGGGAGCACTTTTTCTGAATTGTCACACTCTGAAATGTGAGAGGTTTGGAAAATAAGACTCTCTATAGTAAATTAACAGCCTCACAATATGTCTGACTGATTAAATTATTGTAAATAAAAATGCATTACTGTCAACTTTGGCTAAAGTCACAGCAATCTTTGCTGCAACACTATCACACATAGTGTTATGAGAGACTTTTCTTTTGGATAGGGGCCACAGGGGGACAATATGTCTGTGTGTGTTCGTGTGTAAGTCCAGGGTTTCTGACAGAACACTTACGCATCAAATCACAGAAAAGAGAAATGAAAATGGGAAACTTCAAGGGTTTTGATTAGAAACTACCACCCGTCTGTTGTGATTTGGGGAAATTGTTTGTTCCGATTGAAATGGTGCAATAATGAGAGGAACAGTTGATGGCACAAACATTGATGAAAGATGAAGAGTGACTGTGACATCCCATTAATGTTGTGTTTGAATGGAAATATGGAACAATTAAATACAATTTCAACCGGTATAAAAACATACTTTTCACGTGTCCAGTTTTCATTTTATCCCTTTTTATTTTACACAACATAACAACACAGTACATGTTGTCTTTTTCTGTACAGAAGCTTTCCGGGAGCTCGTGACCAACACAGGCTGTATATACCAATGTCAGTGAAAAGCTCACAGGGTTTTCATGTTACCTTTTTTTTTGTATTCTTCCCTTTAAAAAATATCAATTTCACAAGAGGCAAAGTCTTCATCTGTTCGTCACAGTTTGTGTCTGTGTCTATCTCGAGAAAGGTCTGTACTCCTCGGTAGGTAAGAAAGGCTATGTGTGAAATCTCTTCCTTTTCCGTCCCCTCGGTCCTAATCCCCTCGCTCAGGATCCTCTTAAATCCGGTTGTGTCATCTGTCTGTTGCAAAAGAAGGCACCGACTGCTATTCTCTTGCCACGGTATAGACACACTTCTTGTGTGCGTGTGAACGTGAGAATGGTGTGCTTTGCAGTTCTTGTATAGTTTTTTATTCCTCTTTTTTTTTCCTGTAGTAAATCCCTTTTCGTGGTATTTTCAGATAAGGTGAATGTGAATCGGGAAAATGACGTGGCGAGCGCATTGTCTTGTTTTTGTTTTGTGCTATAAAGTGGAACCGACGAGATTCAAAGACGCTATGAGACAAGGCGAGCTACACCCCCGCCGACCGGAAAACAGACAGGAATCTTTCAAAGTGAATAAAAAACCTGTAAACTGAGATTTGTGGTGAAAAGAGTATGAAAATAATAATAAAAAAAACAGAACAGGCAGAAAACAGAAAAAGCTCACCCAGAAACACACAACAAAAGGTTCCAACATGAACACAAACACACTGTACACACCTAAAACACACATCCTAAACAGCAACACACACACACACACACACACACACACACCTCTCAACAAATTCAAACTCACTCACCGACCCAAACCTCAGGCATACAAAAAATGGAAAAAAAAACTTTATTTGAATGGTTGCTGTCTCTCTCCAGTTCAAACGGTGCTCTCTAGGATCCAGTCCGAGTCGCACCGCCCTTTGTCCGATTCTCCGTCCCCGTCTTTGGGGAGTAGAATCCCGCTCATTGATTGGCTCCTTTTGTTCCGCATTATCCGCCCTATTTTGGGTGGTCCTGCTGCCCCCTGATGGGCGGGGTGAGTCTTTGAGCCTCCGTCACAGAGCGAGTTCCTCCTCCTCGCCCTGCTCCTCCCCAGCTCCTCCGCAGGGAGAGTCTGGTACTTGCTGGAGGCGGAGGCGCCACGGGGGGCCCGGCGCAGGATGGGGGTCTCACTGAACCGGATGGAGGGGACGGGGCTCGGTTTGGCCGGCAGGGTGGGGTAAGGCGAAGGGACGTAAGGAGGCGGGGTTTGGTTGAGAGAGGTGGAGTTGTTGCGGTTGGTGTTGAGGTTCTCCAGAGGGGTGGAGGGCAAGAGAACGGAGGAGGGGGTGGAGTATGGCGAGGGAGGAGGGCGAGGGGAGGGGGATGGTGGGTTTTCAGGGGGGGGCCGAGGTGCTGGAACCGCCCGGCTTTCCTGGAGCAGGTTTACGCTTCGGCTTGGGGAGGGTGCCGGTGGTGCCGTTGGGCGACGAGACCCCACCCTTGGCCTTCTCCTCACCCCCTTTCTCCCGGTCCTCGGCTCCGGCTGTCGGGCTCCTGGCCGCCCAGGACTGGCTGAGGACCGAGGTGGTGGTGGAGCAGTCGGGCAGGGAGGAGTCGGACGACTGAGTTATGGTATCCTTGCCCCCCCTCTTCTTTGAGCCTCCAGAGAGGTCGTCCAACCCGATGGAGCCGTGTTTGGAGGAGCTGGGGGTGACGGTGCATCCCTGAGACTGCTGCCCGTTGGTCTGAGAGTGAACGTTGGTCATCGACAAGGAGACGCCTTTACCGCTCTCACCGGGGTTACACACCTGAGGGAACAGAGGAGGAAAGCAATGAGGTGTTGATCCTTTTAGTTTCATTCTGAAATATGGACATATCAAGTTTTACGTATAGTTAAAAACACTTTAGTTTGTTATTACATGAATGAAATAAGCAGTGGGAGTTCTAGACCAACTCTCCTTGGGGTTCCATGCTGGGGCCAGGTATTTAACGAGAGGGGCATTTAATGCACGACAAACGGGACACAGACAGCGTTCAACTTTCATTCAAGAACATTTCTGGTTCAGTATAATGTCACAATATCAAGTCACGAGTCATAAGTAAAAAAGAAGAATAAAATGACTGGTGTCAGAAACTTGACAATTGAATTAGATTACATAATTGTAAAACAAAATACATTACTGTTAACTTGGCTCATGTCAGAGCGATCTTTGCTGCAACACTATCACAAATAGTATTATCATATACTTTTTCTTTCGGAGTGGGGCCACAGGGGGGGGGTCAAAGCTCATTGTTACACTGGCCCCTGTTGAGAGAAGTGATCTGCTTGTTAATAAGCAGCAGACCAGGCCGGCACAGCAGGCCACCACGTGACAACGCCACTCGCTCCTGTAATGAAAGTCTCTCTCCTCTCATTCTCTGTCCTTTCTGAGCAGAGGGGATTAATGGAGACAGACAGAGACCCACCTTGTAGCGTATCATCAGGATGATGATGAAGACGAGCACCGAGGCTACGATTATCCCTCCGATGATGATGATCATGGTGCCGCCGAGGAACTGAGACTGCATGAAATGACACCTCATGTACTCCGACTCGGTGGAGAACTGAACGCAGCCCACCACGCGCGTGGCCGTCAGGGAGGTGATGATGTCATCATAGATGGCCAGCACGCAGAGGTCGTACTGCGTCCCCGCCGCCAGGTTGTTGACCAGGAAGTTCTTGCTGGATGGGGGGATCATTCTGTGGTAAAACAGAGGGGTGGGGAGGGAGGGGGAGACAGGAAATAAAGACCTTTTCATTATTGTGTTTTTTCCATTATTTACCAATTCCTGCATATATCGTTAGGCAATGTGGACGTTAAAACAAACACAATAGAGTCATTGATTAACACAACTTAAAACATGACAGGGATAAGTAGGAGGAGATGGCATGTAAGAAAAGTATTGTTTGTTGTACAACTGATATCTTATGTTTTAGATTTGTCCCTACTTTTTCAGTGATGTAGTATTGTTTGATTGGGAATTCTTAAGGCCACAAGTAGTGCTATAATGGTTTGTGATGAACATTTGTTTAGAACATCTACACGGTCAGCATATGGACGGGGAATATGGAGTTCTACATCCACGGAATAGGGATTATGTTTGATTACGTCTTTTTATAAACAGCGGCAGACACAAACGTTGAGTCTTTGAGAGGATCAACAGCCCTTTGAGGAAGAACAATGTACAAATCACAATACGGAGATGAATCCACTGGAAAGTTAAGGTTTGGATTACCACTTGGACCAATCATGTTATTCCAATATGTTTATGTATATGTCATCTATAAGTAACAGATGTTGATGTTCCTCAACCAAAAACGTTTACATAAGGCTTTCAAGTGGTAAAGAACGAGCAGTTGTGTGTGTATGCTCTGGAACATTTCCAAGGCTTATATAATGTGTGAAGAAACTTAAAATACCAGAAAAGAGACAATGTAGTTACATTACATTATAAGTTGATATGTTGAACTTGTTAGCAAACAGTTGCTTATTCAAACAGCCAGCTAAAATATGTAGTAATATTAGCATTATTATTTCATTTGTGTTCGGTCCTCCTGATAAATATACTGTAGGTCCAATATTCCTTCTCCATTTATCTCTGCTTTGGTCTCCACCAACACCTGAGGCAAGTCTGGCTCCTTAACTTCTTATCCAGTGCTACCATCACATTTCTCTGGTGTTTTGTTCTGAGAAGGTAGCAGACAGATGTTATTTTGGAACTTGAAGTGAAAACAATCAGTTAGAAGAAAGTGAAGTTGCAGGCTCAAAAACAACGCTAAAAAAGCTAAGTAGGGTTATAATGCCTTTGTCACTTCTGAGGTCGCTTTCACTAACCTGCTTTAAAAAAGTCAAGGACACATTTATTTTCATTTGACTTTGCATAGATACATTATTGTGTAACGGTACGAGTACAGGCAGGACAACATTCTTTAGCATGTGATGATAGCAAACTCAAATTCCTTTTGTACCTTCTGCTTTGTTACTAAAGTTCTAAAACTATTATATATATATATATATATATATGATGTTATTATATCTATATAAATAAAATACTTCAAAGGGAATTAAGAATGGTAATTGTAAAGAATGAATGCACTCAGCTCTCCTGTGTGTAGCTAAGTGCTGAATCCTCAAAAACTAAAAAGTTATCAGCAGAACAGGACACTTAAGATGATTTATTATTGCACGGATCAGAAGAGGTGACCTTCCTTTCCCAAATCTTTCTTGCTAAGGTTTCACAATAAAACATACCGGGGTAATAGTTTTCAGCTTACAATGAAAAAAACCCAGATATTCTTGTCGACACTTCCGAAGGTACTTTGCCACTTTGACTGAAGTTGGTAATTCTTCACTGGACACATTGACTAGAGGATTTGCACATTTGTCCTTCAGTTTGGCTTAAAGGCCGTGTCAGCTTTCCTGGGTTTGCTCATTCAAATGCTAATGATATTCCTCAGTCAAAGCAAAGAGGGTGGCGAGTTCACAGCTCGCGGCCTTGTGTGCACCGAGAGGAGCAGAGTGCTGCTTCGGCCAGGTTAAGCATCTGGGTTTAAGCTGGAGTTAAGTGAAGGTTAGGAGATATGGTGAGCTTTAATGGTTAGCATTAAGAGCTAGGGAATACATGTAGGTAGCTAGGTCATTAGCGAGGCACAAGGCTGTAGAGTGTGTGTGTGTGTGTGTGTGTGAGCATCTATATGACCCTATGAATACTAATCGGACCATCTGAACGCCGGCTGACCATGAGTGTCCTCTTTGCTCCTCTTGATGTTTTCATCACTAGGGTGGTGAACCTTGGTCACACACACACACACACACACACACACACACACACACACACACACACACACACACACACACACACACACACACACACACACACACACACACTGGCTGGCTACTACAGGCTCTGATATAAGCAGCTACATACACATACACACACAGACAGAGATTCATTTCCCTATTATTGCCGTGGCCTTGGGCGTCATTTGTGTGTTTGGATGTGTGTGTGGTTGTGTGTCACATTAGCCAGCAAAGCATTTATATCTGTGAAATAATGTGTTTGTTTTTCATGCTTCGGCTTGGCCTGACTTTCATCATGTTTTTTTCTTGCAGGCTTTAACGCCGTCACGTTCTAACACAGATACCAATGTTAAGCACCTCATTAATACTGTATGTCTCTAGGATATAAAAGGCCTGACCCTTTTTCTTTTGGACAGTATAGGAGAGAGACTTCTGCCACTACTGTATATGTAAACAAGTGGAATTTTCTTTGGTTTTGGTTAACATTCATTTGTATCATTATCCTCAGTTAAATTCAAGTTTGATTTCAAAACTAAATGGCAACTCCACTGGTTGGAAACATAAGTCTAGTTGTGAAGAAGTCTACAAGAAAATGACTTTACTTGATTAATTGCCTCAGTAAATATTTTTCAATTGAATTACTGATCACAATTCATAGATTCAAGCTTTCTTTTGTACAGAAAGATGTTCATTTATAGATAGAATCGGAGGGATGGGAGTGGGGGGGGGTGGTGTTCGGTGACTTGCTCAAGGGCACCACGGCAGGGCCCAGTAGGTACCAGTCCACACTCCATATTTTAGGTCTGGTCGGGGACTTGAACCCGCGACTCTACGGCCACTGCCGGACGTAAACTATTGTAACACAATTATATATTATGGTTAATGTTATAAACAAGAATAATATGTATAGAGAGGCATGTAATGCTGTTTACAGGTTTATGTGTATAGAAAGTTGAATCATATTTATTATGTTTAAAGCAGCTGTCTTTGTGGATAGACAGTCACTTCAAGACTCCTTTCAAATCAGATGTGCTCCGAACTGATACAGGAATATCATGGGAAATGTCATGCCTTCAATATATTTGCCATAATTAACAACAATTGTCATGTTCAGGCTTATGTTTTTTATCCATGGACAATTTTAATTGGTTTACAAGGAAATTAGATTCTTCTTTAGTGAAATCAGTAAAAGATAATATATGTTAGATCAATCTTACGTCATCTGTATTAAAACAGTAAGAGGGCAAGTTAAAAAACAAAACTGTTTAATTTCAATAACAGTGCCCGTGTTTTGGTTAAAAGTCTATGAATGGGCCGCAATTATGCACCTTGCTCTATTGATTGTTTGCTACTTTGTCATGTATCTGCAGACATGAAAAACATTCTTAGAAACCTTCGCTGCCAAGAAACCATTAGCTACATGACTCCATCTGGACACATCCCAACTAGTTTCTAAACAACATCCATCCAACCAGACGCTCCGGCCAATGACGCTCACATTGCACAGTTGGTTTTCATAGTGAGCGTGTAAGCTGAGCTGTCGTCATTTATAATTCATACATACAAGGAACAATAGATATATAGATAATGTGTGTTTGGACCCTGTTTTGCTGAGTTCACAAATGCATTTGAATGCAAATCACAGTTTTTTGTTGTCTTACATACGATTATGTCTTGACTGTGCGAGCCGTCAGCATTGTGAACTCATCCAAACTGACTCATTCATTGTGGCTAATTTCTTTGTGTCAGAGCTGGATCTTGCTGACAGTATTTGAAGCCCTACAGTGGGCAGATGATTGCCTTGGCCGCGACTATTACACTAATCTATCTACTCTGCTCTGCCAAGCCCTCAGCCCAGGGCGCCTCTGAGTGTGTTAGCGTGTATTTGGTTCCGGGTTTCATTACGCTTTCATTACAAGAGAGAAAGTCTTCATGGTCCTCTATGAGTATGCATTTGTGTACTTACGTCTATGTGTCTGCAGTGTGTACATACATGTGTGTGTGTGAGAGTTCCATTACAGTTATCTTCTCCTCCCATGACTTCCTCTTCCCAGTGGCTGTCACTGTGTCTGGCTCTCTGCCAGCGCTCACCACAGATACAGCAATGCACGCTGGTAAATCCTACCGCGAACGGATGTGAGCGTGCACGTTAATCAACTCTAGCTTTCCTCACTCCAGCCGGAGACAAAGCCAGGAGGACAATGCGATCTCCATTAGCCGCTCTCATCTTTTTGTCTCCAGACAAATGATTGCCGCCGCGCACGGAACAGTGAACTATGATACCAGATTGTTCTATTTTCAGGCCATTTCACTTGATTAAATATTGGACAAAGGCTGCAGGCCACAAACACGCATTATTTCAGGAGAAGGAAGGGAGAAAAAAAGGCATCCAAAGCTATGAATCAACACACATGCTTCCAGGTCGGGCTGGAGCCGTGCGATAAGGCAGGGGGGGGGGGAGAATAACTGGGCTCCCATGGAACCAGAGCCCCGCAGGACGACATGTGACAGCCATGCTTTTCAATGATATTCAGCGACATGGGCTAGCTCATTAGTGGTTTCATGTAGCTGCGGGGGTATATTGTTTTTTGGATTTCATAATTGGATTGGAAGCTGTCCAGTTTTGTGTTTTTTTTTAGTTTTCTGACACGGCCTAGTCATTAGCAGCGCTCGTCTGTCAGCTATTTTATCTTAGTTTATCTCTTTAGATAAAGACGCTTATTAGTTCTAGCCACATTTGAGTCATCTGAAGTCTTCAGTACATTTTTGTGAAGGACAACTTATTTGTGCTTGTAGTCAAAAAGTCAAAAAGTTAATTTACTGTACATGTAATCCTGTGCCAAATTTCAACTTTTAAGTTATCAGATTGTATTGAACATTTCAGTCAATCTCCTTTTAC